CCAAAGGCTCTGACCAATTCTTAAGAACCTTATTTGCAGCATTTTCTCTGGGCTGTGGCTCAGACAGAGTGGCCTTCCCAAGGGATCCTTCAGCCGATGGAGGTGCCTGGGCTGCCCTGAACACCAGCCCTGCACTGATGGCCACTGCCTTTGCTATGCCACACAGGAGATGCCCCTGCCTGCTCCCTGAGAAGCAAAGGTCATTTCTGAAATCTTTGTTTTATATCATATACAAATATTTCCTATGATTTTAGGTCATATATTTATTTTCACCAAAATACAGCATGGGACATAGATTAATTTATTATTATTATCCTTTTGAAATATTGCTTTAGTTGCAACTAACAGGCTGCAGGCAGCAGCCCTCAAGAGAAAACAACATTAGTAACACTGAACAGTCCCCAAAAGTTATTCCTTTATCTATTTCTCAGGCATTTGATGTTGAGAGGTTGACCTGACTAACGTTTGCTACAAGTACAATCTCTTAGCATGAATTATGGTAGAAAGGACACTGTTATCAGTGTAACAAACTTCCAGTTCGATTACACAACGCATACTGCTGCTTATTGTTGGCTTTTGTTGGTGGAGAAAAATAAACTTCTCTCGTGAGACATTTAGAGAAAGTAAAGAAATCAGGAGCTGCAGCTGCATGTGAATCTATGGATGCTCTACAGATTTTACAGATCATTTTCATTCTAAAGATACCTGTGTTTAGGTGGTGTTGCCTTCCCAGAATCCACACTGGCTCATCGGTTTCTGGAAATTCTTCTAAGTAGTCTGACAAAATAGTGATCTGGTTTTCATACCTAGATAAAACTGAACAGGAATACACAAAATTCAAACTCCATTTTTTCCCTTTGTTCTTTTATGCAAAACTTTGAGTTCTTAGACTGAAATAGCTGTGGCCTTTGGGTCTTCTGAACAGTGCTGCCAGCTGTATTTAGTCTTTTTCTTTAACAAGCTGGTCTGACACTGAAACATCCAATGTCTTAGCTGGTTTTTATTTTGATCCTCAGCAAGTGCTGAGAGAATACCACGGCTGACACCTCGGTTATAAACATCTGACTGGCGCCAGCAGCAGAAATTCAGGATGACTTCACTGAGAGTAAGACTGGATTCAAAGAAACAAGGAAAGGAAAAACCAATTCAGGCATCACAGCATATATACCCATGCTTGAACCTAGATGTACAAAAACTGCTACTGAGAGCGATTATGGCCTTGTGCTTAATGAGAGGCATGTGAAAAGTGTTAGTAAGGCTGGGGTTTACCTTCCTAACTGGAGATTTGAAACACATCAGGACAAAAAAAAGTATTATTGCTATTCTTCAACACGAGGTCTATCTAATACAAAATAACAAATTATAATTAACACTACTAAAAGAAGACAGTTCAATCATTTTTCTTTTTTAGCTCGTTAAAGCAGGGTTTTCTGGAAGAGTGAAACAGGCCTTCAAGAGTAAAAATGAATGTAAAATCACTTCTTTTTGACAACAAATGTAAGGGATATATTGCTGCTAACTCAGAACGTGAAAGCAAACACCATTATGTTTTACTTTTCACATTAAGTGCACATACATACAGTATAAAGAATGAATAATCAGCAGGTAAAGGTCCAAAAGGTATTTAATGTAAAAAACCACACATTATAGCACCCGGGGATGAAGCTGAGCTATAGCAGCCTATTGGGTCTGTCCTACCAAGTACTAGAGATGCAGCTCCTCTGCCCGTCACCGCAGGCAGCTGTTAAAAAACACCATCAACTTCTTCAAGACTGTCTACAGAGCAAAAGAACTGACACGGGGCTCTCGCTTCTCCGCCAGAAAAGTCCCCGCTCACCGCACTTACAGGATGAACTGCCTGAGTTCGAGCCCACAGACACAGACTCTCATCCCTCCACACTCAGAGAAGAGGGCTGCGCCCCGGCTCCGCGGCCAGCGGGACAGAACTGCCGGGGCTTCCCTTCCCAACCCCGCACACCCCGCC